AAACTCGCAGCGCAATGGCAAAGTCACAATGTTAAAGAAATGATGGCTATAAAAAGGCATGAAACTCCTCCATCCTAACTTCACAGCTCTCCAATGCTTGCAACAGATCCATCTAGGAGCAACAATTGATCAATGATCGTTTGGGGCATGTGATGAAAAAGAAAATTTAAACATCATTCATATTAAAAATTTGACTTTTGAAGATACGGAGTATTGGGAACCAAAAATCTCCTGCGACTTGAGAACTTGGGAAAGAGTACATGTTAACATTCTCATAATAAATGACTTATAAAAATTAGAAATGAAATTTAATGCTCTGTGAAAAGATAAAAGTCAAATTAAAATAAATCAAAAAATAGAATAAAAAAAGTTGACTCTTGTCAACCAATAAAAAAAAAACTAATAAAATAATAATATTAATATTAGACTAAAATTCATCAACCAAGGACAAACTTTATCTGTACAAGATTTATAAATGATAGCTGATAGGTGCTTGGTTCAACAAATAGTTATTTCTTACAGATGGATTTTTGGAAAATATAACCTGGACCCAAACATGCAGATGCAGGTGCAACTTCCTATAAATCAAATTTATCCCAATCAATCTACGCGCGCGCATGTATATATATATACATACATATACATATATTATACTTTCTTCATTTTAAATTATAAGATACTTTTAAATAAATCTCTTTATTTTAAAATATAAAATATTTTGAGTAAATTAAGTTTTATTAAATGCACCGATTTTAATATTACCCTTTCTCTCTCTATGATTTATTTTCATCTATTCTCTTTTTAATATAGTAAATGATGGTTTTTTTAAAATCTTATATTTTTATTTTGGGAAGATAAGGTTGTTAAATGTATTTAATAAAACTTATTAATATGTAAGATTTTATCTAAAAATGTCTTATAATTTAAAATGAAAAGAGTATTTCATACATGTAGGATTGTACGTGCATCATAAATTGTGAATTTATGATCAATTTCAGAAAATTATTTTGCAATCAACAGAGCCCCAAATTCAAGGGTTTTATTTTTACATAAGAAATTTTTATAGTGTTTTTTTGAACCGAAAAACTAATGTAAAAATCAAGATTAAAATGTACAAAACTCTCTTGATTAATTTTGAGATAGTTATATGTATATGTGATCCCATCATTTTTAAGCGTTTAAAATTAATTTTCAAACTTTAATTTTATTTTTAAAATCTCCTACCATTAATTACTCTATTATCTTATTAATAGAGTTTTTCAGGTCATATTACATGGCACATGATATGTAAAGATATTTTTATTAATTTTTTAACACAATTTAAGGAGAAGGCAAAAGTGTAATTTTTAACTTTTAGCAAGTATTATGATGCTGTTATTTTTTTAGTTGAATATTTAAAAAAGCAATTTAAAGTCAATGGCGAAGATAATTTCATGGAAAAAATGAAAGCCCAGATCACCTTATCGGCGATGAGGTCATGGTGCGGCTGGTGCTCATCATCCGGACGCGGATCCCACAATAGTAGTTGTTGACTTCTTGTTGCAAAATACCACTCCGTTCATTTCAATTTATAAAACATTCTTTTGACAAAATTATTTATATTAATGAAACTTATTAAATATAATTTATAATTTTAATTTTTTATAAATCCTCAAAAAAATTTCTCAACAATAAGAGAGAATAAGAAATTTATTTAAAGAGTGAAATCGTGAGGAATAATATTGGCACAATCATTAATAAAGAAATTTTAATTTTATAAAACGTCTTTTATTTTTTTTAACACTAAATCACCTAAAAAATACCCTTATAAAACAAGACATCTGGAATGCAAAACTCTCCCCCGCTCTCTTTATCTTTCCATTGAAGTTTGAAAAGGCGTTAGGTTGAAGCTTTTCTTACCATAATAAACTAGCGTTTGAATTAACCTGTCACAACATAACACACTGAAAGAGAGCTGAATCTATTTTAAGGTTAGTACTACAACAAAATGCTAGTTACTTAAAATAAATTCAGATATTCCTATTAATTAATACTAGCAAAATATTTATTATTTACCCCTTAAATTTTAAGTCTAGTAGCACTATAAGCTTTAAATTTATTTGTTATATAAATTATTTTCTCACTTTTTAAAAATAATGCAATTTGATTTATTATTGTTAACAAAAATTAATTTTGACCATTAGTTAATCCAAAAATGACATAAAAAACCTTAAAAATTACATAAATGGACCAAAAAATTATAATAAATGATCCCAAAATAAAAAATAAGGACCTGAGAAATTATAGAAAAAGACAAAAAATTTGGTCATCTTTTGTAACTTTTTGATGTCCTTTTATATCATTTTTTTGTTAATTAATTATTAAATTTAATTTTTATTAACTGCAAAGGCTGGATTACAATATTTTTAAAAGTTAAAAAAATAATTTTTATAATAAATAAATTCAAAATCTATTATGCTAATTAACTTAAAGTTTATGTGATAATTTATTCATTAACTTTTTGTAAAATATAATCCAGCAGTTGATAGAATCATAAGTATAACAAATAATATTTTTTTTAAATTATAAGATAATTTTATAAGAGATTTGACATCCAAAAAATAAAACTTCATTAATAATACTTTTTTAATATTATTATTTTTATATATTATCTCTCTTTAATTTTTTTAAATAAAATATTAAATAAAATTTCTTTTTATAAGTTTATATTTTTCTCTTTAAAAAATAATTAAAATTATAAAGTGTATTAAATGGGTTTTAATGTTATTATTTATAATTTTATGTAAATATGTCTTACGAAGGCAATAGTATTTATCATGATACCAAACATAGCCTGCGACAGCTCACCGTCACTAACACTTTCAGAGAGAGAGAGAGAGAGAGAGAGTGCTCCCAAGATGAAAAAACGAATCCAACCATGAAAGCCCATCAAATGTCGTGCCGTATTATTTGTTCTCTGGCAATTATTTTGACGTTGACTGAAAAGAACATCATCATTGCTGCCATTAGAGACGCTTAATCATGAATTAAATCCCTGCTAACCACATCAACGTTATCTAATCCCTACATTTATACTACTGTTTTGTTTGAGAATTTCTCCCATTTCATGCAAGCAATAAAAGTGGGGCCTTGCATTTGCTCCTTGTTTTTGCTTTCTCCGGAGCTACGTGTAACTAATTAGCTATTAACTTTAACTACTAATAACTAATACGTGGTTCTTTGCGTCGCAAATGAATAAATAATTGCATATTCGGCTTATTATTGCTGAAAAAATATATTAAAAAAATCAAAAGCGTTTGGATTAGAAAAATAACGAGTTAGTTCTACTTGAATAAATTCTTCCATTTCTGCTAGTTAAGGTGACATGCAAAACCTTGCCTGTCAAAACACGTGTTTTGAAATTGAATCGAATTTATTCAGACTTCAATTTATAAATATGTAAACTAATTAATTATTCATTTTTAGATTTTTTTTTAAAATATTTTTTTACAGATAAAACTAAATAACATATATGACTGCATAACAACAAGCATTGTTCCATTTGGATATTTTATTATCAAAAGGTTCCCACTTCACAAATTCGTTGAGTCATCTCTTCGACAATCTTCCATTTCTCTTTCCAAGATTCAAGACTATCCATTTTATCCTCTTCAATGAAGTCTCTCGTGATTCTTTATATCCATAAGTATCACGTATACTCTTTCTTTTATATTTTGATCACGAAAAAAAAAATTAGACTTCAAAGTACAAAAATAAGATGGCTCCAATAAAATTGACGGCAAAATTATTGTGCACCCTGCCTTAAACGTAGAGATTCTCAACGAAAATTGAAGGCACAGACACAATGAGCGCTCGCCCATTAAACTCTGCACACGGCCATTGCCCATTGCACTCACAATCTCACAAGAAGACTATCATCCGATGGTCGAACACAAATTTACATTTTTAACCCAGAAAGGCCAAAAACAAAGCAAGAGGTGTGCGTTTGTGGCAAAGGGACAGACCCAGCTTATGGGGAAAATGGGGCAGCCCCAAACTCACTAATTTTTTGTTTCTTTTATATGTGGAGATAATCTGATAATGTTGTTTTCATCAGAAAATTTCCAATTCTATATTCCAACAAAATTTTATGCCATCGCCGTAGAATTTCGCCACCTATCAATTTTTTTTTCCTTGGGTTCTTTCGCTCTCCAAGTCTTCAAGTTTAATTTTAAGTAGGAAAGGAATATAAAAAATAAATTATATTATTTATATTTAATAAATAGAATAATCAAAATTTTAATTCTTCATGTTTGTTTGAGCTATCGAATTAGCCCCTAAAAATTAATTTTTATTAATTCGGTCCCCTGTATTTTTTTAAATCATCATATTGATTCATCTTTTAAGTTTCGAAATACAAATCCTTTCAAATTAATTCAATGCAAACAATCTCATGATAACTTGACATATATATGTAGTTAAATAAATAAATTAACTCTCAAATTAGTTTAACTATTTTTATCAATTTAGTCCCTTACATTTAATTTGATTTTTTTAAATTTATGAGTTATTTTTTCCTTCCAAAACAATTATACTTTTTTTGTTAATTTGCATGTTTCTCGCCAATATTTTATTATTCATATTAGTAGATGTTAACAATATTATTTATTTTTTAAACAATAAGGATCAAATTAATATTTAAAATAAATTTAAAAAAATCAAATCAATAATTAAAACGAACTGAAAGTTTTATTCTTCATTGAGATAAACAATATGATGATATGTGTTTTGAAAGTGTTTTTATATAAACATGCCACATATATGGAAAGATGTGGCAAGAAAATAACTTAATTATCTAAATATGAAGTGAGAGAAGGGCAGTTTTGGAATACTAACGCTGAAGAGTGAAGAGGTGGTAGAATTGTTTTGGCAACATTATTTAGAGAGAGAAGCTTTCTACGTATTCTGTGGTCCGGAACAGCTGATAGCTACTGTTCATAAGTCTGAAAACGCGCTTCAAAAACACATCACTTGCACCTCTTCCACCCTTCTCCTTCCTTTGCTCTTTCTATCCCCCCCCCCTCTCTCGTTCCTCTGTTCCTTCCCACGAAACAAAGAGGAGCAGCTAATCTAAACTTCTAAAGCTGAGTGACGAAGAGGCATTTTCTTTTATACGGAAGGTGGTAATAATGCTTTCCAAAGGCTCAAGTTTTTTGAGTCTCACTTTCTCATCTGGATGCTGATTCTGTCTCGGTTCATGACTTCATTCATGCTTACTTTTTTTTTCCCTGATTGTGTTTTGTTCTGCTTTTATATGTCTGGGTATGATTATCTGCATGCACGTGTCTCACCTTTGAGCTGCTTTTTCCTCCCTCTCTCCCCCTCGGTTTCCTTTCTGGGTTTGTGATTATGAATTGCTGTTCCCCCTTTCCTCTTTGGGAGATCTTAAACAAGCCTCTATCTTTTATTGTTCTGTAAACGTGTCATTTGAAAAACAGGTAAAATTCGTAGGAAGCTGTGTCATGATTCACCGGCTGCGTCGTGCTTGATCAGTTTTTGCATTCTCACTATCTTCTCAAGCCGAAACTTATTTTGGTTGATCTATAAAGGGTAGTCACTATGCTGCATTACATGCTCTCTGAAAATCCTTGCCTTTTTTCACTATGTGAGCAAATTAAGTAATATGCAAGGCAGTGTTTGCTTGTTCCTTTTCCTTGTAACTCTGGTTTAAAAACAGTACAACGCGTAGTAACTTATCTTGTTTTCTCTTGTTTGATAGCTTTGAAGCAAAGCAAATTGGACTGTTGTCTTGTTTAGCTTACTAGATCAAGCTTGTGATTTTTTTTTTTTTGGGTCTCCCTAAATATTGATAACCGGTTAATGATGTTACCAATTGGGTAGGGGTTGAGAACGATGCCAAACCAGCTATGGTTTGTACGGCCAATGATTTACAAAGCTGGAAAGATTTTCCCAAGGGACTTAGGGTTCTTCTCCTTGATGGGGACACCAATTCTGCTGCCGATATAAGAACAAAGCTCGAGGCCATGGACTATATTGGTAATACTATTTTTGTTGGCTTCCCTCACTTTTTCACCTACTTGTGAGTTCGTCTTTGCAATTTCCCACTCACCTTTATTAGTGAATAGAATTGGTCCCCAGTTTTTTTCTTGAATAGCATCTTGTAAAGTTTCCTTGCTTTGGATGCTCTGGATATAATTCTCGGCAATTTTGTGGTATGCGATTTAATGGAATTGGTAGTTAGAAAATCCTAAAGTACACTATTTTTTATCCTTTTGCGATGCTTGCTGTTATTTTTGGTATTCTTTTAAATGGCTTATAAATCTGCTAAAACTTTCATTTGCTCCTGAACTATCTGCTTTGAGTGTTTCAGTAACTGCTGTGACCCAAAATATGAGAATATTAGAGATACATGAATTCATGACTCACTTTGAACAACCAAGTCTACCCAATTTTGGTACACCGACATGCTTAGTTAGCATGGTTACTTGAACGTAAAACATGAGCGTGTCAGGGTAAATAAAACAATTTCAAGTAGGTAAGTTTAATTAAATATGTTTTAAGAACCGATATCCGTGAGTTTGAATACAATTGAAATTTCGATTCGTATCCCTCTATTCCCACTGCCCCTTGATCTTTGTTTTATTTACATTCCTGTCATTCTGTTATTCTGCTTAGTAAGCCTCAGCGTGATTTTGCAGTTTCCATATTCTGCAACGAGAACGAAGCCTTGTCAGCAATTTCAAGCAAACCTGAAGGTTTCCATGTTGCCATAGTGGAGGTAATGTTCTTTAGAATTTGTGAAATTCTTGTCATGATTTTTATCTTCTGTCACCCCTAATTTTGAGTTCTCTTAGCTTATTGATATAAGACAGCCACTTAATGCATCTATAATCGCAGGTTAATATGAGCAATAACCAGGGATGTTTCAAATTTCTTGAGAATGCTAAAGACTTGCCAACCATTAGTGAGTTCGGAAACCAAACCTATCTATGCAAGTTATTCACTTGTATTTCTCTTCCACCCCCAAAGGGCACTCACTCTATTCTAAATGGAATTTAAAAGTTAAATGTTTCAGTCTGAATGCATTACAACTAAGACTAGTTTTTAATAAGGAGAAGCCCACACATTGTACCTTTCAAGTCCAACAATAAATTTCAAGTTTCACCATCTCTGGATCTCTGTCGCTTACTGCTTTTTCTGTAATAATTGTAAGTTCTTAGGATTTTTCAACCTTTCATTTGTTTCATGATTGTCACGAAAACTTCTTTTCTCGTTGAGAATCTTGTGACCTTCTTAATTCATGCATGGTCTGTAAGGGAACATCAAACATGACATGAGAAACGCATGGAAGGAGTTTACTCCAGTAACATTCTTCTTGACTTGATTTTTCTAACAAGTGATACTTTTAATTTGATGCAGTGACTTCAAACGATCATTGCCTCAGCACCATGATGAAGTGTATAGCAGTAAGATTTCGACTTAGCCGTATTAATCGTAGTGGGTCATTATTTAATATCCTTCAAACTTAACTTCAATGTTCTATTTGATGTTCTTGCACTTTCTTATTAGTTCGTATTTTTTTTGGTACTTTCAAATTATTGACCAAAATCTGAACGTCTCCTTTAAAATCAGGCCTCCAATAGAAGTAGTGACTGTCTGGTAGTTTAAGTTCAAATGTTACTGGTCTTAGATTTTGTAACTCATACGTGCATTTTCATTGCATCCTAATTGTTGATGCATGCCTGTTAATGCTGTCTGTTATTTCTTAAGCTTGGTGCAGTTGAGTTCCTAAGCAAACCACTCTCTGAGGAAAAGCTCAGGAACATCTGGCAGCATGTGGTTCACAAGGTCTGTTAATAATTGTGACATGGTGGGATTCACTATTAACATAATTTGAACAAAATAGTTCCTGATGTAGTTTGATTGAGCAGGCATTTAATGCTGGGGAAACTGTCCTGTCTGAATCACTGAAACCCGTCAAAGAATCTGTAGTATCAATGTTGCAGCTCCAAAGAGACAACAAGGAACATCAAAGTAAAATCACAATAGATTTAGAGAAGATATCGAGGTATAGTGAAAATGACAATGAGCTGTCAGCTGGGAGTGACAATAAATACCCAGCTCCTTCAACACCGCAATTAAAACAGGGGGCTAGATTACTGGATGATGGAGATTGCCATGAACAGACTCATTGCTTGACTGGAAAAGAAAGCGGAGAGCTGGACGGGGAAACTAAATCTGTCGAAACTACATGTGGTAATTCTAACTCTGAGGGCGCTACACCTCAACCAAGTAAGCTTGAAATGACCCTAATCAAGAAGGAAGAGGACTTTGCCAATGGTTCTAAGAGTGAGAGTGATATTTCTCCAAATAATCATGATGGAAATTTTGTTAGCAGCAATGATGATAGCACTGCATCTCCGAACAAAGTAGATGTTCACAGTGATACATGTGAGATCACAGCTAATAAAAAGAAATCAAAGAAGATGAAGGTACCCTGCTTTTTGACTACTAGTTCTCGTCATGTTTGTGAATATCCCTCTCTCCTTCACTAGCAAAATAGGCATAAACGCCTATAAATCAGCACTCATAGATAACATGTTGAGATCCCCCCCTCCCTGTTAAAACTTTGGCATGCTTATGAACTCAAATCTTGGCAATATGTCACTCATGACCAGATGGCATCACTTTATTTTTGAATCTTTTAATTTTTCTAACCCATCTAATCTGCATGGTTGGAGTAATCCATAACAGGAAATGGATAGACACACTCACTATGTTGATGTCTTGATGGAGTGATCAGAAGCATTATTGAATTACCAAGTCTCGGACTACTTTTTTATCAAAGAAATTATCAAGTTTTTTTTTTTTTTTGAAGGAGCTTCCAACTAAAATCACTTTACAAAACAGCATCACTCCAATCCTCGCCTCCTTCCTTGTATGTATCTTTACAGAATGTATTTTCTGGTTTAGGAAAATCTTCTCAGAAAATTCTTGAGTTCAAAGCAGGTCTTCATCAAAATTTATATGCATATCCGCAATATCCTGATAAACTTGAAAATTGCATTATGCTTACAAGTGTTCAGTCACCTAGCTGCCATGAACTATGTGTTTTACTACCTGCTTATGTGACTTTCATCCATCTTAGATTTAGATATATATATATATATATATTATGCAAAAGCATATACCCTCATGTTGTTGGTTTCTTATTCTTTTCTCATTTTTTTTTTGCTATATTGGAATTTTTTTTGAAAACAAATGATTTGCTGGTTCTGTTAACCGGAACATACTTTTGTCTCTTTAATTTTGGTTTCAGGTAGACTGGACGCCTGAACTGCACAACAAATTTGTTCAGGCAGTGGAACAACTAGGTATTGATCAAGCCATACCTTCTCGAATATTGGAGCTAATGAGAGTAGAGAATTTGACGAGGCATAATGTGGCTAGCCATCTTCAGGTTATTGTTTAGCTTGCTGGTTACAGTCTCAGTTTCTTAATGACACTGCTAGTGGCAGCAGATGATTGCAAAAAGACATATCCATGTACCCTCTTAGGTTGACTCAGTTACAGTTTTTTGTCAAACAGAAATATAGAATGCACAAGAGACATATCTTGCCCAAGGAAGAAGATCGAAGATGGTCAAATCAAAGAGATATAGTGCAAGGGAACTATTATGTACCAAGGCCAATTATGGCCTTTCCTCAATATCATGCTAATCACACCTTATCTCCAGCTCCTTTGTATCCTATATGGGGACAGCCGGGCGGACAACCGGCTGGTGTACAGATGTGGGGCCCATCTAACTATCACCTATGGCAGCCTTTTCCAGGGGTACTATCTTGATCAGAGCTCAAGCAGTATGCACTTTCTCTTTATTTTAGAAACCACCTTCCGCGGTCTCGTGATGATTCAGTATGTGGTTGTTTTTTCAGATGCATGCGGAAGCATGGGGTTGCCCTGTGTTGCCACCTTCTCAAAATCTTTGTTTTTCCCACACTCAAGTGAGTAACACCAATACAAGATCTTGACTTTCTCTTATTCTGAGTGTCACAACTAAATCGAACCGTACCTGTTTCTAATTAAACTTTTCTGATCAAACTGCAGCATCTGCCTGGATTGCACAATGCTAATAATGTTGAGTATAACTCTAGCATGCCTCCAAGTTCGTTAGAGCACCATCCGGTAATGCCATACTTCCCTTCATTCTTCTAATATTTTTGATCTTAACTAGTGCCAAACCACCAGTTTTTACTATTAGATTGAATGCTTTATGAGAGTGTTGCATGATACCAAATTGGGTGTCCCAATTAAATTTTGCGCAGGATGGGACTGCAGCCTCGCACTTTCAAATCCTTAATGACTTTCACTACGTTTGAGCATTTAAGATTCATGAAAATTTCCTTGTAGTTTACTTGTGTTTGGTGCATGCAGGCAGATGAAGTTGTTGACAAGGTTGTAAAAGAGGCAATAAGCAAGCCATGGCTACCCTTGCCCTTAGGCCTCAAACCTCCTTCCACAGATAGTGTGTTGGCTGAACTCTCTAGGCAAGGCATATCCACCATCCCTCATGGTTCTAAATTTATATAGCCAGCCGCTGATGTGGCCACTGAGTCCCACCGATGTTGACTCTGATGGCGACAAAATTTGATGTTCTGGCTGGCACGAGAACTGCTATTTTTCACAACAGGCAATTCAGTTGATGCCCCCCAAGTTACTGTAATTTTCTTTTCCCTCAAATTTGAGATCCGAAGTTAATGAATTGGTTAGGAGATGGAAGTCGGGACCAGCGCACCTTGCCTGGTCCCTGGCGAACCAACAACCAGTGAGGTTTCCACCAAGCTGATGATGGGAAGCCACAGTTGAAGAACAAGAATGGACATGGATCCTATCCTATCCTATCCTATCCGTTGCTTTTTTGCTGGAATAAAAAGCTCATATTGCAGTGGGAGACACCCGTGAGGCAAAATGGGCGTCCCAGAAGTGGCCACGTGGTTGTTGATACTTCCACCATGTTTGTTTTGATGATGGGTTTGTATCTGAGTCGTGAATGCACAACTTTTGCGGCAAAAAGTGTAAGTCAGCGCAAATGACAGGCTAAAAGGTGCATGAATGAGAGGATGGCGTGGGGCGGGGCTAGTATTAGACGTAGATGTAGTGGAGGGGGTATCTAATAATGGAAACAGTGGCGCTTTTGTTTTCTTCACCCCTTTTATGGGGTATGCTACAGTGACATATGCTGCTCTGCTGTTTTGTGAATAGTAATGAGCGCAATCCCGACGGAAGCTGACCATTTCATTTTGCATCTATGTTCGCTTCAAAACAGAATTCAGGTAAAAGCCTTCATTTGCCGGCTTGCCGCTTTGGGTTACCCGCATGTTGCCTTCCTGATATATATTTCCTTTTCATGCCCAATTTAGCTTAGATAAAACCTAGGACAATTAACTTGGAAGAATCGCCCTGCACGTTTTAGAATAGTAAAAAATTTTACTTTGCAATCAATATATTTTGATATTCCGCTGCAGACTCGGGGGGTTTTTGTTGCAATTTTTTTAAGAGCAAAAATATAATTTTGTCTTTATGTAATTTAAAAACTCAGATCATGTGCAGCACGATGTTCATGAATGTATAACACGATATTCATGCATATCCAGTTGATATGTAGGTTGAAATATATATCACACAAGGCATGTACAATACAATGTCTATGAATACATAATATAATATTTATGAATTTTCAACACAATGTTCATATATGTTCAGTTGATCTATATGTTAATTAAAATAAAGTCACATAGAGTATGCACCACATGATGTTTATAAATGCACAACACGATGTCCATATCACAAATTCTCAACATAATGTGCATGAGCATAGATATTGTGTTGAGAATTCATGAATATCTTATTGTGCATTCATGGACATTGTGTTGTATATTGTCTGTATCACTTGTATATTTTTTTAAACTTACTGATCAATTAGACACATGCATATTGTGTTGTGCATCAATAGATATGGTGTTGTGCATTGTATTGTGCATAATTTTGAGTTTTCAAATTATATAAAAACAAAATTGTACTTTTGCTTCCCAAAAAAATTGCAACATGGGCCCTTAGGTTTGCAGTACAATTCCCCCAATTAACTTTATATCCTATTTGGTATGATGGATGTAATTTTAATGAAAATAGATATGGATATAGAACTGAAAATGAGAACTAAAAATGTGTTTAGTACATTTATGGAATCATGATATAAGTTTTATTTAAAATGTACTCCCTTCATTTGAAAATATAAGGCATTTTTAGTCTTTTGGGGTGTAATTATTTTTTTTAAAAGTGTCCCTATTGATGAATGACTTTATATTTAGTGTAGGGTGTTTAATAGGAATAAATATGAAAATGTAGGATTAGTTTAAAAGTAGGTAACTATTTTATTGAGGTTAGATTCGATTAAAAATGTTTTACATTTTTGAACAGAGGGAGTATTTTTATTCTGTTAAGATCAAAATACCTTGCTCAGGCTAGGGAGAAAAAAAACACACCACTTATAGAACCACCTTTCACCATCGGCACTAATGGCAACAATAACAACGACCAACAATAATCAAGAAACATTTGAACACATCAATGTAATCCAAACACCTTCACTGGACTTTTGCCGAAGAAGAAGAAACTATATTAGTTAAGAACATCAACAACAACATCATCATCACTAGACCTTCGCCACAAATGAAGAAGAATAATCAACCATGTTGTATAACATCTCAAAAAAAATTTCTATGATTTATTGAGCTAATGAAAGGTAATTATGTGAATTTAAGTATAATTAAATTTGAGAATAATTAAAGACAACTAATGGGCCTATTGGGTTTCACTTTAACCTTTGAATTGAATTTGGAAGTGAATTGGGTCACTCGAGTTCAAATTGTAGAGAGAAGATTGAATTTTAGCCCATTATGCATTATATTGTAGCATAAAAATTGATACTGCGAGATAATTTTTTGAACTAGTTTTCTTTTAAAATGCAAAAACAGTTCAAAACAGAGAAAGACACCAGAAAACAGAGAGGGCGCAACAAAGAGAGTATTTTTTCTGTTAAGACATCAATTTTTGGAGATTTTGGAGTTTGATTTTACTAGATATGCTTTTTTTATATCCTTTTCTTTTCTGTGTACATTTTGAAAGTAAGATTTGAGGTTGGGAGATGAGATTTTTTGGACCTAGGGCTATAGGTCTGAACCCATTAGTCTAAATGGGACTAATGAGAGTTGTTTAAGTATTTTACATATAGTTGAGAAGTTTTTATAAGATTGTGAGCTTGGAGCATCCATTTTAGATGAACCTTAGACCTTCAAAGTGTGATTTTAAATTGTTTAGTGTTACATTAATAATTATTTAAGTTAAAGAAAATTAAATGGAGTTAATGTGAGTTAATAAACCTAGTAGTTATACTTAAGTGTAAGATATTAGAATTTTGAGTAATTAAAGTATTAATTGTAGATCAATCATTTCGTGCACAATTCAAACTTTGGTATAGCTTATAAAGAGCTTTTATTGAGGGATAAACTTTTAATCTCTAAAAGATTTGAGGTAATGAGGGAAAGTTTAGTTTGTGGTTTTGTTTGTTAAGTAGTTATAATCATTTATAATTGAATAAAATATGAGTATGTTTTTTAATATATGAAAGAATGCAAATTGTGATAGAGAGCCAATATTTAAAGATTTTCTTATGAAAAATGAAATTTGATTGTCTGGAGTTATTTTTTATGCTTTGTTTATGCATGATTTGAAGAAAACATGAATTTAAAAAGTGATAAAATTGTGATGGGAGTGCAAGAAAGTATGAGAAGTAACGAGTATGATATATGTATGCCATGTAGAGAACTTGATGAATAATTACATATATTATGTATTAATCATGATTTCATTGCATGATCATATAAGGCAAGGGTTTTGCCTAGAGGAAGATGAGTAGATAATAGAAATTGACATAGTAAGGCTACCATTCAGAGCTTGATGGCTTGCCTTGTTATTTTACTATCCCATTTGTTTATCAAGAAACTCAAACCTAAATAGTTTTCATTGATTCATGAAGAGGCTAGATTAGTAAAACGACATTTCATGATTGTTAGTATCGAGGAAAATCATGATTTAAAGTAAGTGTAATAGTTTTATTCGAGCAGCTCCTCATAAGTTAAAGGCTTGGGTAGTCCGATAATAAAGACAAATCCCATTAAATAGCTATAGGTTTTATGTTAGAGGTATCAAAAGGGTATAATATTGGCATTGATTATGTATATTATTATATGGCCACATGTTTATTATTTTTGTAGCCTTGCACGTTTTACAAATGGCACATAGTTGTTAGTGTTGTGACCCTTACATGTTAAATAATCTAATATCACATGATTGTTAGTTTCATGATTATATAAATTGAGTGGTTTAATATGTAAATATGTTTTATTTGATTATGCCATTTGCATCATTATGAATAATTAACATGCATTTATATAGGTTAAGTTAACATTAGTTATTGAGTGATTGTATTCACCCATTTCTTTTTAATATTATAGGTGCTAACTTATTTGGATAGGACTGAGTAAAATAATTAGAGGCTTAGGATTTTTATCATCAATCATCAAGATATTTTTTGAATAATATATTATGTGTTTTGATAAGGTATCGGTTGGTCCCCAAAAAAAAAAAAAAAATCACAAGATAAGGGTGTCGAACTCACGCATGATGCCCTTTAGAAAGCTCCCGACTCATCTGTTGTAACTGCATTTTTTTTTTTTGGTTAACATGTACATTACTTTTTTTTTATAAAAAAATGTAAGTTATATATATATATATATATATATATATATAAAATCAGGATTTTCAAACACGTGTTAGCGTATTATAAAGTTGCGTTAGTTTCTTGTTTTGTGGATGCTGGATAATTAAGTTTGCAAAAATAAATTATTTTTTCTTAAGATTTCATTTAAAAATATACTGCACGCATTTAATTCAAACACACAATGCATTAATTTTGCAATTTGATTTTTTCATTTATTGAAAATATGATAAAGAATTTTGATCTACTTTTTAAGAATAATTTCGTTCTGTATTTTCCTGATTGTGATTTTGCATTTAAAAATTAAGTAACCGTTGTTATCTGTGATTATTTCCATTAGTATCAAAAATTTCTATTCCCATTTAAAAATATTATTGTCCCGTATTGCATTTTAAGATCAAACTAGGGAGCAACTTTGAAAACTTACCATTCTTATCATCACCCGTAATTAATGATTAATTATATATAATAGTATATATTTAATTTACCTTTTTAAATTGTTTGGAATGCGAAAATACTGTCACGCAAATGAAAAAAATTATATTTATTGATTATGGCCATTGATTTATATTAATTTTCTAGATATAAATCTTATCTTATTTAATAAAAAAAAAAACACACACACACACACACGGTGACTTCCTCGAATATTTCATGACATATAATTTTATACATTAATGTATATTGGTATGAAACTTGAAAAATAAATCACAGTATATTGCTGTTAACTCCATAAATCTATTTAATGTCAGTCTAATTAAATTAATTTTTAAACAACTGGATATTTGAATTTGGAAGTTGCATGAATACTCCAACCATCCACATTGGGTTATATATATATATATTGGTATTTTTTTTGCCAAATATAGATAGCGGTATTTCAATTGCATATTTCCTTTTTTTTGTTATAAAAATAATTAAAATAAGAAATATTATGCTTCCATGTAGGATTCATGAATTTCTCATGTTAGGTCATGTGGATGAATAAATTGCCTGTTTTGAATATTTATTAAAATAATGTTTATAACTCTTATTTTGATTCTCATACTTCCAAAAGGAAAAAAAAATTGGTTTGACTCTTATTTCATTGATACCAATAAATGATATTTATTAATTATAATTAGTGATGGCAAAGGAAAATTTGCGAGATTCAAAAACCATAACTAATTGAAAGTTGACATTTCAAATCAAAAATTAAATGAAATTAATTATAGCATACATTATATTATACTATAGTAATATAGAAATCTGTTGATTAATTTTACTTGTGTCAAGTCTATCAATAATTGGTATATAGTTGTATGATTTGAAATTCAGATATTCCTTTTATTAATGTTAGGTCTTCTACATATATGCCATATGGCTAACTTTTAGTGGGAATCAGTGACGAATTCAGAAACAGGTATAAGGGGGCAAATTAAAAATTATTTAAAATATGGGGGGGGAACACTAATTTTGTACAATTTTAATAAAAAAACTAAAAAAATTTCTAGAGGTAGTGAAATGGGGGGGGGGGGGGCACCCCCTTGGGTTCG